GCTAACATGCCTGTATTTATTTTCCCCGTGGTTCTATTGTTTGACGCGCCTTGGTTAACTGTGCTGAGTGAGGGCCGGCTGGAGTGATGGAGAATCAGCGGCCATCTGGCGCACTGCGCCGCGTCAAACGGACCAGACGGAATGCGGGTCCTCCGTCCTGGCACGCGCCCGGGTCAGCCTGAACGGTTTGCGGCCAACAGACGTGGAGACGCTGCCGTCGTCTGGGGGCCACCGTTATCGGGTGCAGTTATCTGCATCATCGTCAGCTGCCGTTATCTGTATCACCGTTATCGGGTGCAGTTATCTGCATCATCGTCAGCTGCCGTTATCTGTATCACCGTTACCAGGTGCCAGTTATCTTGCATCATCGTTCATGCCGTTATCTGTATCACCGTTACCAGGTGCAGTTATCTGCATCATCGTCAGCTGCCGTTATCTGTATCACCGTTATCAGGTGCAGTTATCTGCATCATCGTCAGCTGCCGTTATCTGTATCACCGTTACCAGGTGCAGTTATCTGCATCATCGTCAGCTGCCGTTATCTGTATCACCGTTATCGGGTGCAGTTATCTGCATCATCGTCAGCTGCCGTTATCTGTATCACCGTTATCAGGTGCAGTTATCTGCATCATCGTCAGCTGCCGTTATCTGTATCACCGTTACCAGATTGCCAGTTTACTGCACATCGTCAGCTGCCGTATCTGTTTCACCGTTACCAGGTGCAGTTATCTGCATCTCGTCAGCTTCCGTTATTGTATCACCGTTATTCAGGTGCAGTTATCTGCATCATCGTCAGCTGCCGTTATCTGTATCACCGTTATCGGGTGCAGTATCTGCATCATCGTCAGCTGCCGTTATCTGTATCACCGTTACCAGAGCAGTTATCTGCATCCATCGTTCAGCTGCCGTTTATTGTATCACCGTTATCGGGTGCAGTTATCTGCATCATCGTCAGCTGCCGTTATCTGTATCACCGTTATCGGGTGCAGTTATCTGCATCATCGTTAGCTGCCGTTATCTGCATCATCGTTATCAGATGCAGCCACTGGAAGTATCTTGAGGCTGTTGGCGGCAGGACATGATCGCTGTTGCTATTTGGTGGCCATGCAGGCATCTGAACAGACAGGCTATTTATGTCTAGTGGTCACACCGTCACTAGGTGAACATTGGAAGAGTTCATATATTGTTTACTCAGCATGTTAAGCATCCGCAACATGAGTTGTATTACTATAGCGTACTTCCATTGGTTTAACTTCCCAAAAACGTATCCAAACGTGGATTGCCTGCCGACACATCGTGTCAACGCCGCGATATGCATCAGGAAGACTTTAAAGAACATCTTACATAGAAAAAGTCCTGCGAATAAAACGTCTCGCCAGGCCATCTAGGGGCACAGACATTTAAGCACTTGGACACGTAACTACAAAACTTGTTAGCATGGCGCTGATCCCAAAATCCAATTAATCAAGACGTTCCAACTAAATCATACGACACTTGATTAAGGTCACAGACGAGATGACAACGGGAACGGCAATCCGCGTCGTCACATTCTCTCACACAACAGAATTAGAACAGGATTCCAGGCCATGTATTCCGGGCGCAAGAAGCCTGTCTTATAATCCAACGGCACTGGATACGAATTCCGGACGTGCGTACTGCTTCGCCGAACCGACATGGTAAATCAACTGACATCTCCGTTGTTCAATGTTCATTAACACGCTTCTGGATGACCGATTGAATGCCTTTCGCTCGAGTGAGTGGGGGGGGGGGGGAGGGGGGGAGGGGAAGGGGGAGGCGGGAAGGGGGGGGGCGGTCAATTCGACCCTTTAAAATATCGAAAACTAAGAGAGCTAGAGACACTGAATTCACAAGATGGATTGGCTTGTATATTAACTCACTTGTGTCAAAACCTGAGATCATGGTGTTTGCGTCAAGTAATGTCAAACAAGATCAAACTTCTGTTCGATATCTCAAGTGCCCAGACCTCCTCATACGACCGCCTTAAACCTAGATGGCTGTTCTAAGAAAAAGTCCACTGATTTTCACTTGACGACAGTGATCTTTCTCACCTTTAAAAGGACATGGTCTTTAAAACATAAATCCAACGAGATTATTTTGATTTTGCATTGCGATAAGTGTCGAGGAATACGCTAAGCGGTATGCTCCTGAAAACAAGATGTTAACCTGGATCATTTCAGGTGAATAAACTAATACTAATCTGATCTTTAAGAAATCCATGAACGATGTCTGTAGCGATCTCTGTTATAAATGTATGTGAAATGAGCAGCGCCAGAAGCTATGTCATACAGCAGTCTCACGAGTAATAAAACAGGTTTTTTCAGGCCTCCATCTGATCTGCATACCTGATCCCAGTTCAATGCAGTTATCTGCTTTCCTAGATTCAATTGTTTTATTGCCTAAAAATTATCTCAGAAATGTATGGCTTTCTGTAACACTTCGTTGTCGCATCAGCTTGAACGATTCCCTTGAAGTAGCCTTCCATTGACAGCCATGGCCTGACTTCGACCTCCCATAGGTCAGCGACCTTGCAAGGTACATCTAATGTGTTGTACTAAAAGGTCCACTTTTCAATTGCCTACAGCTAAGGAGAGCTTGGCCTGTGCATGCCACGCCCTTCGAAAATTATTCTGTAAAAATCTCCGGGTGGTCAAATTGACCCCCTCCCCCACCCGTGTGCGTGACAAGAGGCAGACTAGCTCAGGCACGAGGTGGCGGCGGCAGCGCTGGAGCGTTATGCGGCCATAATAGCCTCTGCAGTCCGGTACGGCTAAAATTGCACCCAACATTGCCATGAGCTCAGAGCCGTTCTGCGGAGCTATCGACCTTTAATGTATTGGTGCGTCCTGTTATATCGGTGGTCAATCACTCAGCACAAGAACTTTGAACTCATGCCGCCGTAAAACCAGGAGCTGAAGGCCTTTCTTGCTTATATCGCTCTCGATACCATTCTTTTATTTTGAGCAGCACGGAATGGGCAACAAGCTCTTCTATGCAAGCATTCGTTTTGATTTAGTGTAGGTAAGAAAGACCTTGAGCTCTTAATTTTTTGGGTATTATGAGTTTTGCGTTGATGAAGGCCTACACTCGTTTCAGTTTCTGCTCATGCTCATTTTTTACCATGATCCCTGCCTGAGACGTTAAGTATTCTCATAATATATCTCCCTGATTGTTTCCTATTCTCGTTGAACATCCGCTCGGGCGGGGGTCAATTGGAACCTTCCGCGAAAGCTTTTCCAAAATAACTTCTGAACAATCCGGCATAGCCGAACAGAACTTTGCTAACTAAAGACAATTGAATTACCAATCGTTTAAATATAGAAATTACTCATATCTGGCAAGACCGTTGACCCATGGCAGGTCAAAGTCAGGTCATGGCTGTCAGCGAAGGCATCGTTCTATGTTCCCAGGCATCGTACAATTTGGCTTGACAATTGAATGTTGAACAAAGTCATGCCACTTTGAGATGATTTCTCTGAAAATAAGACAATTCAGATCAGGATTATGACTTATTCTTTTGGCGTGGGGTCAGGTATCAAGGTTAGATCAGTATCAAAACCAAACCGATCTATTACTAGAATACCTAGTTGGGTAGTCCTTTGGCGCCCAATTTCGGAATTCCTTGATCACAGATATGTCAATAAAATCTTATGTTAATTTCATGAAGGTCACAGGCGGCCAATAACCTAAGATAACCCCATCAACCTGCAGCTTTGAGGAACATGCCATCCGGCGTAATTATTGACACTGATTTTGAATTGAATTATCATAACGATATCGAGGGGCCTTTGGTCATCATAACATTCTGAAGGCTAAATAGAGTCGCTGGCCTGATTTGCAACACCTGAGAAACATTTTGTTAAGCAATGGTATCGAGGTTAAAGGTGGATGTGTGGGGAGGTTTGAGGGTACTTGATATACCTACCTGGTGTAAGGCCATGTTTGACTTGACTTAACCCCAAGATTACGACTTAAGCGTCTCCAACTTTGACACAAATGCTTTTCTGATGTATTTGGTGTCTCTAGTTCTCTTATTATCTTGTATCTCGGGATGGTGGGTGAATTGACCACGTCCACCAGAGCGCCTTACATTGAATCAGGTCATCCAGGGGCGTGTTAACCATTACCACCTGGTTTTCTGAAAATGTTATACTTTCAGCATGCGAACGCATACTACAGTGGTTTTGAGCGTAAGTTACCCTCAGATAGCACATTTACTTAGCACGAGCTGCAGATCAGAAGCAGGAGATCGATCTCGGCCACTTTGGGTGCAGGCTCAGGCGGGTTATCAGCCAGCGTCGTTGGCACACTCAGGCGGGTTATCAGCCAGCGTCGTTGGCACACTCAGGCGGGTTATCAGCCAGCGTCGTTGGCACACTCAGGCGGGTTATCAGCCAGCATCGTTAGCACGCGCGCGTTGAGCTCACACTGGACTGCGGAGGGTCAGTGCGTTCCTCGGGGTAACGCAATTTACATGGCGACAGATTGGTTTGTGGGTGATAATAACAGCGCAGCTAAGCAGAAGTGATTACGAGGCTCGCCATTTTCGAATGGCGAATAATGGAGCGTGTATATTAATAATGGAGTGACCAGTTCCTTGTGAGTAGGGCCGGCAAATGACTCATACTATAACCATCACTACAATTCGGTCAAAACAATCCAACCCAATCCTTGCGTGATGCCTCAATGAAAGGCTGATTGGTCTAACAAATGGTCTTTGTCTTCTGGTAGGGGAAGGAAACACCATATGGTGACCTCAATGTCGGACAACTGAAATTAACCAAACGTTCGAGGCTCTCAAGCCAACGGCGTTTTTATCCAATCACAAAGAAAAGTTACATGACACATGTTTTACTTAACATAAAGCAAAAACAGTGGGAAGGTGTAAATCATCTCAAAGTAGCACAAATAAGGACTTAATTAACAACGAACGATACACTGTGATCGATGCCAGCGTGTCTGGCAGCGACAACTGATCCCAGATGCGCTCATTCTTCAGACAGACCGCCGAGCAGAACGCTAACGCCACTGCTTGCCGGGTGCAGCCTCTGTACCGAGTGACCCCGGCCGACTACGACAGCAGCATGCCGCCCTTCATCAAGGGACAGCCGCTGAAGGTCTACATCAGCCTTTGGATCGCCTCCATCACCGAAATCAACGAAATGCGGCAGGACTTCACCGTTGACCTATACTTCCGCATGTGGTGGAGCGACTTCAGGATCTTGTTCCCGGTCTGCGAAGACAAGGGGTTCATCATCATCGACCACGCGGAGCTTAAGGTGTTGTGGTTTCCGGATTTATATTTTTCCACGGAGAAAAAGGCCACCCGACATTATGTTCTTAGACGTAATGGTGGGCTTAGGCTATGCAAGAAGAAACACTGGCTACTTTATTCAGAGCGTCTAACCGTGACTAACTTTTGTGCCTTCGACTTTAGGTATTTCCCGATGGACAGACAGCGGTGTCCCATGCCGATAGAACCTTACATTTTCCACAGCGCCTTCGTCAATCTGACATTCGGAGACCCAGGCATATATTTCAACAACTTCAAGTTCAAAATTCCCCAGTACACGCTGAACACGGTAGATGCGGAGGACTGCTCCTACAGCTACCACTTGTACGGCCAGTCCCTTAAACCAGACCTGCGCCCAGGCCACTTTCGTCCTGGACCGGCAGTTCAGCTACTACTTCGTGCAGATGTACCTGCCGTCGATTCTCATCGTGCTCGTCTCGTTCCTGAGCTTCTGGATTCCGGTGGAGAACGTGCCGGGTCGCGTGGCGCTGGGCGTGACCTCGCTCCTCACGCTGGCCACCCAGTTCACCACCATGCAGCGCTCTCTGCCGCCCGTCTCCTACATGAAGGCCATGGACGTCTGGATGTTCTTCTGCATCGTCGTCGTCTTCCTGTCCATGGTAGAGTTTACGCTAGCCTACAACTTCAAGATCGCTGTGGTAGAGCCGGACGACAAACCCGAGTCGCCTCCTTCCCCCCCTGCGAAGCAGGCGCAGGCGCGGAGCCCTTTGCCGCCCGTAGTGGACCTGGAGCCTGTCAACCTGTACTCGAGGCGGCAGCCCAGAGTGATTGTCTTGGAGCAAGCCGGCGGCAAGCCGTCCTACCTCCGCAACTTGCTGGTGAGGCTGGTGAAGCTGGCCAAGCGGCGCAAGGGAAGCGTGATCGACAACGCGTCCAAAATTATGTTCCCAGCCATCTTTCTGTTGTTTAATCTGACATACTGGATGTACTATCTGAAGCGGAAACATCAGCATGTTATTTAACCTCATGCTATGAGATGCTGATATCTGAGCGAAGCGGCGTGCTGTGCGTGGTGTCCTTCAGCAAACCAAATGATATTGTTTTGCCCCGCTGAAGACTCGACAAGTTGTGCTTTGTTAGGCACTCACAGTGATAGCGATAGCTAGTCAGTTAGCTGTGGTGGTTAGCTACTTATCCTGTTTGATCTGACGTTGATGTGAAATTGGTGGTGTAGGGATGATTTGATTGCTTTAAATGATTAATTCCCAGCTGAGTTCTCTCGGCCCTGCCTTGATGTACTGATGAACTGATGTACTGATGAACTGATCGCTGATGCACTGAGGTAGTGATGTAACGATCACTGATGCCCTAATGTAGTGGACCACACACGCCGGTGAGGAAGCTGTCGCAGAAACGCCCACTTGTGAATTTCAATTGCTATTTAGCTGTTAAACGTTACGTTCAATTTCCATGTTAGGCGGTAAATTGCATTAATTACTTGCTGTTCGGGTTCCATCAGTGCGTGAATTCGTGCTTTCGAAAACCTCGCTATTCCACCTGTCTGCCATATTGATGTCCACCAACGTGGTTTCCGAGGAAATAAATCAATACTTGGAAGCTCTCCGGTAACCTTTTCCGTGCCATTTTTCCTAACCTTTTGGTGATATTTCCTTTCTGGTAACCATAGCTCCAACGAACGAAGATGACTGAAACAACAATTTTGTTGATAACTGGGCACGAGCCAATGCACAGTATCATGCCTCTGTACGATTTAGTCGGGTTTAAGGTCATGCGAATGCTTTTATCCGTTCCCCATTTTTCAGTTGCAAGCTGTATTCACTACCTCTCGATGTTTTTGTTAGCTGTTATCGTGAATCCTTTCCTGAAAAGTAGTCCTACTATGTAATCGGCTGCTGGGTGACATTCCTCAGCTTGTTTTCATATTTTGCTGGTCATGCTGTACTTAACTGTATACTTTTCATAAACTCAAATTATTCACAGCCACCTGCTCAAATGCATCGAACAGCTTGCCATGAATCGGATCCCAGTGGCAGCCTGACCCATTCATACGCGGACGAGCGGCTCCCCAGCCTTGACAATGGCCCCGCCCGCGACGGGCCTGCCCGGCCGAAGGCACGAGGCCGCCGCCTCGCAAATAGGCCACGCGCGCCTGGACGGGGCGGCTCCGGGCCTGGATTGGACGGGTGTGGGGCCGGTGACGCGCGCACACGGCACATCCGGGCCCGTCCAGCAGGCCCGCCCGGTTCGCCGGCCGCCCGGCACCGCAGAGAGAGGGAGAGAGAGACCCACTTTCTGGCCGGCCGGCCGGCCGGTACGAAAGCGAAGGTCTGGCGGCGGCCACGGAGCCGGAGCCGAGTCAGTTGGCAGGAGCCAGCGCTGCCCTGTGCACGTGTCGACGGGGGCCGTACGAACGACGCCGGGACGGAGCACGTTACGCATGAGGTGAGTGTGCCGCCGCCGGGCGTCGGCGTCGGTGCCGACGAAGCGAGGCGCCGTTTAGTCCTGCTGCTGCCGCACAGCTAGCGGCGACGGTTGCTGGGAAGTCGCCGTCGAATTCACGCGAAAGGAAAGCGTACCGGGCGGTCCGCTGTGAAACAAATCCTGCCGAGATCGTCAGCCGATGTTGCCAGATCGTGACGATCGCCGGCGCCATGGCTGATGTTGCCAGATCGTGACGATCACCGGCGCCGTGGCTGTGTTTTCGAAGCGCGTTTGTGAAGGCAGTTGCACCGGAGGCTCGCTCAGACGGCTCATAAGCGAGGGTCAGCTCAGAGAGCGCGATGGGTTTAATGCGGGTTCTCGGCGGATCTCCGTAGCCACCGGGCGACGTTGGCAATAAATGCCCACTGACCCACATCAAATGCTGGGGATGCCAGCGACCAATGGCAGGGCACGTGACACATGGATCGCCTAGTATCGTGACGTGATGAAAGGCGTCAATATGCCTTTATGAAAGCGGCTATTTCCGCCGGGAGGGATTGGGGATGACTCTCAGTCGTGGTTCCTGGATTATCGGGGTAAACAGGAGTGGTGGAGAGTATAGCTAAATCTATCTTTTTGTTTTCTAAGCGTCATTTCGGTGAAATTGAAAAGCTGCGTAATTTGCTGGACGTATGCAGCTCACATATAATGCGTAATGCTTGCGATGACTCCGAATTTTTCAACGCGAGCGATACTGATAGAGAACTTGGCGCGCCATTTGTCATATTTAGGTTATGAATGAGCCAAACAGTTCCCTGATGACTTGCCAGGCTCCGTCAATGGCTCCTTCTACTTTAAACGAGATCAATGGCCCTTGATGGCTATGAGTTTAGAGCTTCTGTGCTAACAGTACTCGACCTTCAATGTGTCAGGGCATACTGAGTAAGCAACATCATCAAGCCAACAGCAATATCGTTGTTAAAACTCAACGTTTAAGGGGGTGTTTTCATGGTCGCGAGCACAGAGAACATGGCCATGACGAGGCTCGTCACTCTGAGTGATCGCAGCTTGAAACGCAGCTTTTGATAAAACAATCAACGTTTGCTTGATAACATTTTTTAGTTAGTACCTTCTCCTACACTGAAGGTCGATTATCCCCGGCGTGACACCCTCAAACCCATTATGCCGTAACATCAGAGAGTCGAAGCCTTTCTTGCTTGTGCCAAATATGCCTTTGGTGAGCGTGCGCTGCACCGATTGTTTTCTTCTCGCCATATCACGTCTGATTCAGTGGAAGGAATGCTATTGTTTGACAGTCCGTATTCGTTTTGTCAATCACCGGCAACAGGTTCATGAAATGACCTAGTTAGAAAGGTTACAGATGACTTGAAAGGTCAGGCTTTAGGTCGCTGCAGGCTCTTGTTGCATTCCTTTAGAATTCAGTTGCTGATTGCTTTTTAATCGTGTGTTTGCCTTGTGTGAGGTTGAACCCCAGCTGACGGGCATGAATTGTGGAGCGTCCACACACTCGTGACATACCAGTGATCAAATGGCCTGACCTGTTTGGGGGCCTGGGGCCTGGCGCCGGTGTCGATGACTCGGCACTGGCCGCGCTCACCATACTGTTTGTGCTACTACAACCTCTGGCCAGACAGGGGAACGACGCCATCCCTGAGCCACTACAACCTCTGGCCAGACACGGGGAACGACGCCATCCCTGAGCCACTACAACCTCTGGCCGGACAGGGGGAGCGACGCCATCCCAGGCGCGATAATGGGAAAGCGGGAAACGGCGGTGCCGTCAGATTTGGCTGACTGATGGTACGTTAATTGCACAATTTTGCAGCGCTCATGAAATCACTTTCGTGATTTGCTGAGCCACCTTTTTACGGTTGGTTGGCAATTTTAGGCCTGCAATCCATGTATAATGACAATCCTTAAGGGAAGTTCTCCGCATTACGTAAGTTTGAAAAAGGCATTTCGCTCAAGTTTTGATATAGGCATGTTTTCGAAATATCAACTAATCGATATTTTCATTCCCCTGGTTTTTCTGCGATGAATAAGGCTATTACTACCGTCTTATCTATGGAATTTTCCACACTTGAAGATATTGAATCTAGCATAGGATATGATGAAATAAGCTCATATGCGTCTATTGCTATATTTTTGCGGAGGAAAGACTGCTCTAGACAACACAATTCCTCTGTTTAGTATATACGCTCCTCAATGCTTTTGCTCCATTACTGTTTGATTACGTCATCATACCTTGCACAACATTGATTCAAGGCCAATTGACGGCCCTTGTTGACGGTGATATCTGGAAGTCGTGCTAACTAACGCCAGATATGAACGACTCGACAATGATATTTGTATTGGTCTTAATCGCCGCTTGGCTAATGGAATGATAGGATTTGAATGACGCTATTATAATGTCTTGAGTGCCTGGGCGACCTAGAAGTAGTCTCCCGAAAAAGTCTGCACATCTTCGCGGGCGTGGAGCTAAAAACAAAAGGGGTTTGGGTCTTGAGAAGTGTATGGCTGTGAAATGAATCGAATGGTCTTCAAGATGGCTATTTCACTTAAAATTGCCATACCAATGTGGAACAATCCCTTTCAGTACATAGATTACTTGGTATCGGTGCATATATTTTTGCTAAGATCAAACAAAGTCAACAGTTCATGATAATCTTAAATGAGCCTCAGGTCAGCAAACTGCACTGAAATCGGTAAGAAAAAATCATGCTGTGGTCACTAAGCTTTCATTTTTCTTCCATCTTGTGTTCCCGTATATGACCGTCGGCATTATTCGGAACGTCGCTGGCCAAAGTCGAATGATGAAACCGAGCGTTAGTGGGGATCCCAAATACAGATCAAACGGTGAGGCGTATTATTTCCCTCGACGGGCACACGGTGGAAACAGCTTCCTTCCATGCGAGTGTTTCTCACGGTCTGCTATACATAGCAAACTATATTGCACACATAGTTAATGTAAACGTCAAAGAGGTTGTGATACGATTGGACCGTTTCAGTTGAAAAATCCAGCGCCAGCGACCTGACGCCAGCAGTCCGCTGTTCGCCGACCCAGAGGTCCTGTTCGGCTTAATAACGTTTCGGCGGCTTGGACGGTGCTGTGCAATATCTTTCAACCGTGGACGTTTTCCAACAGAACGAAAAAAGACATTAGAAAGGCAGCGTCGCATGCAACCCCCGGATGTCACTAAGCGGTGATCGGATCTCGGCGAGGGAGGTCCCCGTGACCCCCATGGCCGTGACCCCCGTCTCAGCAACCCCCGTGACACCGTGACAGCATGCCCTGGACCATTGTCACTGGGCGTTCTGTCGTCAACACGTGCGTGCAGAACACGCGGCGCCAGCGCGGCGTACGTTCGGTCTCCGCCCTCCCGCCGCAGGGCGGCTGACCTCACCGATCGCGGCTGGTCCTGGGGCCGTTCCTGTGGATCGGTGGTGGGAACACGCCGGCCGTGTCCGGCCGCGTCCGGCCGCACAGGAATCTCATTTTCACCTGATCAGCCGCTTTCACTAGGCGGTACGCTCGCGCGACAACACGGCCTATATCCGTCGGTGTGCGGCGAAGGACGTCTGGGCTCTCGCGCGCAGCTGTAGGCCGTCCACCGGCGCCGGCTCCGGCGCGTCCAGCGGAAGGTGTGGCTGAGGAGGAGCGCGGACAACGCTGGCGGAAAAGGGACGTTTGTTGGAGAAAAGCAGCGGGAAGTTCTGGCGGATAAAGGCTGTCGGATCGGGCCAGGCATTGACTATCGCCGCCGGTGGGCATCGTTTCACATCTTGTGGACGCTGCTGCCTCGGAGCACTGGTAAGGGCCGTTCGATGATCACGTCCTGCCCTGGGCTGCACACTGCCAGTCTCTTCACAGACACGCAAAAATAGGTTGATGCCACGCCATTGGATGGTGTTGATGTTGCCATTGGGACCACATGCATCTTACCGTTCTGAGTTGAGCATGGGCAGTCTATGATGTACCAGTAGATCTGTACTTTCGTGCTTCACTTGGACCTAGGTTTCGAACAAGCGAGAAGTTCAGCGCAACAGTGCTGGAGCGTCTGAGTGGTGCCTGGTTAAAGCTCCTAGCTTGAGCTCACTTGACCATTGCCCTGTCAAACAAGCTGTTCGTTGGACTTAGTTATGGCGCTACGCTGTTCACAAAAACGCTCCATCTTTTCTATTGCTCAAAATTTGTATGTGATTGCAAGGGAAAAGTCCTTCTGATGATTGATTCAAAGCACCAGATACATTGAAACGAATTAAAACCAAGACTAAGCAAAAACACTATTTGGCGAATTGAGCCATCACGACTGTTGACAACGGCGAGCAGTACTCATTCGCTCGTTTGGCCATTACTGCCGATGCATTCTTCATCCCAACTAATGGACACAGTGGATAGTGAGGCTACTGTGAGTAGCGCATGACTCTCACGTCTTTCTCCTGCCATGTGGCGAGCCATCGCTGCCAGCATAGGTCAGGGCCATGCGGTCGGGGGCAAAAACCGGCACAGGCAGGGTCAGTGGTCAGGTGACCAGACGACTGTCCGGCGCAAAAACTGGCTGACTCGGTGCCGCTTGCTGACGTCACAGTCGCGCTCTGCAGCGTCCGATTCGAGGAGCACGCGCCTCTTGCCTCACGCAGCGCTGTTTGGATAAATGCTGTGGCGAGTTTCGACACGATGACAATGACGCCGTCCCCAGCCCTCTGAGCGCTGTGCAACACGCAGGTTTGGAGAGCGGTGCGTACTGCTCGCTGGAAACTGTAATCTGACGGACGCAAGCCCTTTGCCGCTCGTGTCACGAGTCCTCCTCCCATTGATATGTTTGTCAGAAGATCCGAGCGCGTAACTTTGCGCCCGTGTTAAGCTAGCAATGATGGGCTGTTCGCATGGCACGCTACCTGATATGTACAATGCGCTTGGGTGCGCGTGACCTGCAAGTCATGTGAGGTGACGGGTTCAGGCGATCAAAAGATGGCGTTGTGACTCAGTGCTGTCATAGCCGTTCGGCTCAGCGACGACTCATTGGAGCATGCATAGAACCGATACATGCAGAGATCAAGTGCTACGTTCCGCTGAATACTGCGTCGAAGCCCCGAAGCCCAATGGAGCGACGCGTCCTTCCCTGCATTCATTTTTGGACGGGTGCCGTCATACTGTGTGACGTCATACCGTGATACATTCCACCAAAGCGTAGTTCATTCCACCGGTGCGTTCCGCCCGATGGCGCCTCCTGGCCAGCGGCACGCCGCACGCCGCGCCTTGCTTTAGTGATGCGCTGTCGGTCGCCCCGCGAGCGCCGGCTGAGGCCCAGATGACGCGCCGTGGGACCGCCCGGTCCCGTTTCCAGACAGACGAGCGTGTCGGCAGATGACGTGAACCGGGACAGGAACGGCGACCGTGCCGGGAGCGAGGCGTGGCGAGTCACAATCAACAGCCCGGTGGCCTCAGAGCGCGCGGCGCGAGCGACAGATGCCGCGGCCACTGTTTCACGCGACGAACGGCCTGGCGTGTGGCCCGTGTCCTTCCGTGACGTTAGATCTGCGTGAGGAACACTTAAGTGTGTAGTTCGCCGATGTGTTCGCACGGGCGGCCGATATGGCGGTTAGACAGCCCTTATGGGAACTGATGCATATGACAGTGATGGAGCAGGTCACATTAAATAGCAAAACTCCACATTTGAGGCGGTTTGTGCGTGACGGAGCAAGCTTCTCACGTTGTGGTAGGTGCTGCCTGCCCACCTTAGAGACAAACTATTCGCGTGACGGGATACGCTCACGGTTTTCCCCACAGCCCACGTGAAGGATAAACCCACACGATGGGGCAGCACCCATGTCACTGGACAGCTTCCCGTTATGGGACAGATCCCCACGTGACGGAACGGACACTGCAAGCGACGACAAAGCCCATCATTACAGAACCGCTTCCCTGTGCCCCGCCAGCACCACGTGACGAGCACCTCCCCACGTGACAGGCAATTTGCCACGTGGCGGGACGGTTGCACGTAGCGGAGCGGTGCCTCGGCGACGCCGGAGCACGGCCGCTTCGCGCTGTGA